TTTATAATTTAAATAGTGAAAACTGTTCAAATTAGAAAATTTAAGTTTTATGTTGGAGAATATAAATTTATTCTATAGAGTATATTTCGTTTCAAATAAATATAATTTATTATCGAGTACAAAGGGACATTGTAGTTGTGTTCCGAGAAACCTCAGGTACTTGAGGTTCTGAGGAAAAGTCATAAAAGACAGGTGTGACAAAAATTCTATAATCCCTTGTTTCAACGACTAAATAATAACGTCACCAATATGTAACTAAAAAGACCATTCGGCAGCCGAAATGGAAGTAGATTTCATCATGAATAGAAAAAAAAAGAACGAGGATTGTATACAAAACTAGGATTTTTAACTTCTATGCAATCGACAGAATTATATATCGACGAAAGAATTTTAAAACCAGTGCAATAGCAAATTTCATAAATGGTATAGCAGAATAGGACATAATTTTAAGACTACATATATGATATGGTAATATATCATATTACGAGAATGCGAGAATACAATGATTTGTTTACGAAAGATGAAGATCAGAAGCAGTTTATTATTCAAATTTTGGATGATTACAGAGCTCGAAACATAAAAAATACAAAAGGAAGCTTACTCAAACTTTGGAATTGATAAATCAGTTTATGAGAAATAAATTTGCACATTTTCGTTTTGAAAATAAGGAAATAATATCAAATATAACTTTGTTATCATTTGCTAGGCCTATTTAAATAACTAATTGTGAATTGAAGTTATAAAATTGTTCATATTTCTGGAAAAATAAAGTTTTTAGTGCTAAAATGACTGACTTAATGGAGTTTATGAGTTTATTAATAAGATTATCTCGATAGATATGAACTTTATCTAAAACCGAAAGAAACCCTTTTCTAGAGAATTTAAATTCCTACAAGCTTTTTTTCATGATTTCTTGTCCAAATTTAAATACCGTAACAAATATTTCAAAAAACTATAATTTTATCGAAAAATCTTCAATTGAAAAACTTCAATTGCCCGTCGGCACGTGTTCTTTTCGTTTAAAATCAAAAAGCAAAATTTAATATCTCAAAAACTAATAAATATTTTTCAAATTTAAAAAAAGATTCAAAAAGAGGAGGAAATTTTTCAAAAAAAGATCCCAGAGGGATGAAAATACGGCCGAAAACGGGTGCGTAAGCCACGCCTAATTTGGACACTTAATAAAAATAAATAAAAATTATTTTAACATATTAAATAGAAAATTCAGGGGCTTACTAGATTGATAAATGTACAATATTCCGCCTAAAAAAAATTTTTATCACGATTTTTCAATTAATTATGTAATAGTTAATTAATAATTTTTTTCTGCTATTACAGATAAAACTTATAAAAAAAAATTGGTTGTCTGTAAAGTCGGTTTACGGATAGTTTTACGTAATAACGTCATAAAGAAACATTGATGAAAAATTGCATACTTTTATAAATTTAATTGAATTATTATCACTGAATTATCATTATTTTGTATTTAAAAATTAAAAAAATTTTGAATATCTAAAAATTATTTTAACAAAAAAAAGGACTTACTGATACAATGTTAATCAAAAATTGATACAATAATTTGATAATTGATTTAATTATTATTATTTATAATTAATATTAATTATTTTATCAATTTATTATGATTTTATTATTAACTATTTTATTAATTTATCGTTTATAATTATTGTTAATTTATTTATTTATAATTAATATTATTAATATTATCAACAATAATAATCTAATATCATTGATATAATTTGACATAAATATTTTTAAAACTAGTTTAAAACATTAACTTTTAATTTTCAAATATTATTTACAGTTTTTGAAAATTTAATTTAAATAATTTGTTTAAATATAATCACGAACGAATTAGTTATAGAACAATATTCTAACTGCTAGCTCTGACGTCACGCGAGAAGAGAAATATATGTATCACTAGCCAACGCTTAGGCCTCTCTATCGTTTGTTTTATCGTGCCTCTCTATCGCTTGTTGCGCGCACTCGCTTGCACGCACAGATTCAGTGCGGAACGTTACTATTTTTCATGTGTGTTGCTGGTGTTCATCAATTTATAAGACGTTATCACGTCAAAAATAACATTGTTAAATAACATATTTTTGTTAATCTTCCTTTAACATAATATTTATTAAAATTCAATTAAGAATCCATATCTTGTATTTAACTTATAAATAATTATTAATTAATATTAAAAGAATAAGATTTCATAGAATAATAATATTAAATGATATTTATCTTTTATATTAACAATCAATATTTTATTACATAGAATTTACTATTATTTGACTTCTATTAAATGTTGTATATGAAGTATCAAATGTATATAACTTGTTAGAAAGCAAGTTACGTTTTGAATTCCTTTACAATTATTACATTGGTAGTTTTCCAATTACGATTACGAGAGCACAATGCGACTCATTGCCGCACGGTGCCGCATTAGCACAAGTTTAATTGAAACAGATTAGTTAAGAAATGCAGCAGTAGATCGCGTTGGTATTGCTTCGTTTTGAACAAAAATTCGAAAGTTTGGCAATCTAAAAATCTAAATATTTGTTTACCTGTATTATATATATTTATATATAAATTGGTTATATATGATTATATATGAAAAATGGCCAAATATAATCATATATAATTTTACGGTTATCACACCAGCGGTCATCCATCCAACTATTAACCCTGCTCAATGCTGCTTAACTTTGGTGATCTCCGTGCGTCTTGAAGTTTCTGTCTGCTATGCTGCTGTCTTAGATGATGTTGGTAGTTTTCCAATTACGAGAGCACAATGGGACTCATTGCCGCACGGTGCCGCATTAGCACAAGTTTAATTGAAACAGATTAGTTAAGAAATGCAGCAGTAGATCGCGTTGGTATTGCTTCGTTTTGAACAAAAATTCGAAAGTTTGGCAATCTAAAAATCTAAATATTTGTTTACCTGTATATTTAAATCTTTAAAATCTTTGAAAACATTCATGTTAAACAGCTAATTCAAAATTATATCATGACAATGCTTACAAATATATAAAAATCTAAAAAATGATTTCATTTTATAAAGATAAAGAATAGAAAGAATATAAATTCGCTTAAGTTAGTCATCAATAATTAAATATTAGATATAAAAATATGATAGTTAAATATAGTTTGTGTTATTGTATATATTTAATTTTATTGCAATAATAATTATTTATCAACAATAATAAAATACACTTACAATTGTCAAAAATAATAACTTTGATAGATAATAAGATAAACATTAATTATACCAACTCAATTCAAAAAAATACTTTTAATTTTATGTAGACTCGTTGGTAACTCTCACGCATAACATCCCTGAGCAAAGGTTTTTTGAGTGTCCAACTGTGCGAAGCGTTGCTGTTATTGGAACACTCTAAGCTGCGCACAATGCCGCATTATGCGCTCTAGTGCTGTAGTTGGAAAACGGGAGGGGGACAGCTGTACTCCAAATTACTCAACTCAATGCCAACTTTACTCAATAGTTCAACTACATTTTATGAAATTTGTCGCCAACATAAAAAATATTGGAGTCCAAGACTTGGAAAACTACCATTTTGGCTACATTTCCATTCGAATCACTCAGATGACCCCAAGGAATAGATTATGTCATGCGGAATCAATTTGTGTTATTAGTAAATTCAATTTAATTATAACTATACGATATGAAATCTACTAATTGCAAATGATAAAATTTACTTTTTTCATTTTAGATACTCTAGTCACAAAAAGTAAAATATACGAAAAAAATTAAAAATTTTTTTTTGTGATTTTCAAAATACTGCCAGTTTCTTCAAAATTTTACAATTCACTTGATATTGACAATTTTTAGCTACTGTGCGTGTATCTTTTTAAATTATATAACAATTAAATTAGAATTTAGTATCATAATTTTGATTAAAACGTTTAACGTTAATACTTTGTTAACGCTAAAATAGGCGAGCTAGATTTCTAACTGAGAGTAAGAGTACCAACGAAAATTATTCGTATATTATTTTTGTTTTCAGCCCTATTTTATAAATTAGTTAGGAAAAGCAAAATTTTTTAAAATTCTTACCTCAGCAAATAGAACTACAAATTGGAAAAAAAACCATGGAAATCTTTTTTAAGAGTATAAAAAGATAACCAAATGTCAGTTTAGCTGTAGTTGCAGTATACAATATTATGATTGAGTAAATATGAAGTGTTTTATTTAGAATATAGTTTTCTGGTAAATGAGAAAGCAAGCAGATGGGTAAAAAAATTCTTAGTTTATAGTCAAAAGTATAAATAGAAAAATTTTAAATCTTATACTGTAAAACAGTACAGATCATAATTTCCTTCAGATTTAAAAATAAAGTATCTGATAAAGATTTTAAGAAAATTTTTCGAGTACTAATTGAATACGGCATAAATCAAAGCGTTTAAAGATATTAATTCATAAATCAATGAAGATGATACTTAAAATGAAATATTTTTTATTAAAATCTAAAAAAAATTAATTTAAACCATTAGAGTAATCTAAGTGAATCTTAATTTATTTTTCCAAGGTATTAATTTATCGGTTTTTTTTGAAGTTACAAAATGTGTCAGAATGATTGAAAAAATTCGAATAACATTATTTACTTATCTTGACTTTGACAGCTCTTTACACAAAAACAAGCTCAAATTTTTTCTTGTGCAATTTTAAGTAATTAATAATTCAATACTGAATTAATAAAATTGGATTCCACCCTTTGCAAATGTGAAAATTGAATTTGAATCTTAAAAAAATAAAATATCATGTGTGTATACACACATACTAATTCGGCTGCTGTAACTCATCTAGTTTGATTTTTACCGCCAGGTACCATGTCTCAATAGGTCAGTTCCAAATCAATGTTAGTACATAATTTATATGTACCTCCATTAAAGCCGAGCTCTGCTAGCCAGTTCTAATAAAATTTGGAAAAAAAGGCTGATACCGTTCATATTTATACTCAACCAGAATGGAAACTGTATTCTATAAAATCTGTCACTCCAGTGGTAAAAATCATACGTTTCTGAGCTGTTTGCGACGAAGGAACTTAACAACTTTCAAGAATTTAAATAAAGAAATGGTGAGTTTTCCGATGTTTTAATCATTTTATAGCATTTAATATACCTTTGAATATTTGTTGATGTCTTACAGTAGAATTGTAACTATTAGTGTTGAGACGGAATTTATCTTTTAAATATAGCATTTTGCCATATTTTGTTTTATCTATTTTACAAATGTAATTCAATTATTTTATTTTTATATGTAAATTATATTATATATATTTTAGACAAAACTTCAATTATCAGAACGAGATGATGTATTGAAGCCATTCTTACAAAAAGGTTGGACCATTAAAACTGAAAGAGATGCCATGTACAAAGAATTTTCTTTTAAAAATTTTAATGAGGTTTGAAAACTGTTACTAAACTTTTCTTTTTCTTCGAACAGTGAAAATAATGCACTTCCTGATGTTACAGGCATTTAGTTTCATGACTAGCATTGCTCTTGAAGCAGAAAAAATGGATCATCATCCCGAATGGTTCAATGTTTACAATAAAGTGAATATAACTCTTACATCTCACGATGTCAGCGGTCTATCTCAACGTGATATTAAGCTCGCGAAATTTATCGAAAATAAATTGCAACTTATGTGATAACCACGTAATAAAGTAGTTTTTTTTTTTTAATTTTTTCATTGATTGTGATCATTTATCTTTAATTGAAGTTATTGAACTTTATTTGGCATATCTCACAAAAAGATTGTGCTTTACTCTCATGTAATGAAAATATATTTTTTTTAAAGATCAGTGAGTTATATCACCGATTTTTAATTAGTGCTAATATTGTTGTAATTCACTGAATTGTATACAAAATTTTCTTTTGATTTAATAATGTAAGAAAATAAAACGCCTCCAATGAAATTCTATTTATCTCGTTCATTTGTCCTTGTAACGAAAGTTATTAAAAATTTCGTTGTGTTTCTTCAATAGTCGAATCAGTTGCAAAATTGTCACTGATCTAATATTTACCAAGTTTTGTCGGGATTATCACTTAGATATTTCATTTTGTAACTGGTGCCTAATTAAGAAGACGAGTTGGAGCAAACAAATAATCTTGTGCGAAGTAAAATATGAAACAAAATAGTCATTAGTTATTCGGGGTTTTAATTAAGGATTGCTATCAGATAAATGAAAAATAAATGCTATGATATAACACATTGTCATTGTTATTAAAATTTATAATATGCGCATTTTGATTTAATATCACATGAACTCGAAGAGTATGTGATTTTTATTTTAGAAATTTTTTTATATATTTTACAACAACTTGAAAGTGCAGCATACACAAAGATAAAAAAAAATTAGGTAATTTGACAGATTGTTATACCAAAGATAATGTGGTATAATTTTTATACCATGATATAATTGTGCAAATCGGTTAGGCAAATGATCAACTATTTCTTAGTTAAGAAAAAAATTGTCAGCGCTGAGTATTAATTAGTTTAGAAAAATTGTTTTGCCGAGTATTAAGAGTATTCCTTATACTATTTTTCAACGATAACTCATGCTATATTGCTATATTTTTCAAAATAACTTAATATAACATTTATATTGATTTTATAAATTTTATTACATTCTTTTTAAAAAATATCTGAACTTCTTCCATTATATTTCTTATGCTTTAGCTATCTTGTCCTGTGGTTATGAGGCACAATGCTTTCTGTAAATTTTCGACAGCTGTTGGTATGTCGTCATAATTTATTGCGCTTCCAGCCCATTTAATGTATTTTTGCGCTTTAAGCAATTGATCAGCACTCAAACTAGCTCGTTGTTTTGCACCTAAATATAAGTTTATTGCATTAATAAAATAAATATCAACAATTGACGATAAACACAATCAAATATAAAACACTTTTTTTTTTTTTACAGAGTATTATTACCTGGCAAATTTATGGTACTAGTTGAAGCTGCAGAAGTATCATCCGACAATGCTGAATTATGAGAAGAAAGTATATCACACGGCTTTAGATCCGTAATCTCTTTTTCATCATTTACATTATTTGAATCCGATTCTGAATTACTGTTTAACATTGTTTCACCATCTGACGCTGAAAATTATTATAAATATACATTGAACGATCGTAAATTGTAAGCAATGACTCAAGCGAAATTTTTAAGGGGATCACCTCGTGAAAAGACAGGTTTATTTTAGACTTTTTAATAATTTTTATGACGAACCATAAAAATTTAGGAGTTTAAACTTGTTATAGGGTAAAAGACCCCATTAGTGGCGGGGACCCCATTACTGACACTTTCTTTAATTTTGGTAAGGTAAAAGCCCCAATAGATGATCACGTACCAGTATATGATCATCTATTGGGGCTTTTACCTTACTTATTCAATTAATTAAATCATTAATTTCAATAATAAATATATTATTTCTAATCTTTAAGACCTTTTGATAAAAAAAATGTAACAAAAATTACGCTCCTGCTGACAGTGGAGCGGTCAGTGGATACGTAATTTTGTCCAGGTCACCTAATAAAAACTGAATAAACAAAAAAAATGACTTGGGAGGTGACTCTTAGCCTCCCAAGCAACCAGCAGCTCTTCCTCAGGCTAGTGCACGGTTTTGGACGCCAGTTGTTCTTTTCACCAGGGAAACAACAAACCCTTTGATTTTCAGGGCCGATCTGCAGGTATTCAGAGGAAGATAAATAATAGACTAATATTAGGAAAGAAAGGAGGAAGTAAACTGCGTAAATTAAATTATTAATAAATCAGTCGCGATATTAATAATACCAAATAAATCATTTATTCAAAAACACAAATTACTTAAAACTAAGTTCAGAGTCGAATTCCTTAGCCGGATGAACTATATAACAATAATAATCTTGCCGCGTACGATTGACAATTATTAATCTAAATCCTGAGTAGACTATTTATTTACGATGACGTCGATTACAAAATATAAATTATATCTAGTAATAATATTGGACAGAGATATACCCGAAATCCCTAGTCAGGTTATCTCGACAAAAGATAATAAAAAATTAAATAAATAATACTGGCTGACTCGAATAATCAATAGCGATTTTTAATAACAAACTATTCGCCAGGAGACAACACGGTGCGTGGATAATAATATGGCTGAACTTGTGAGTTCTCACCAAAAAAAGGACAGTGTGTCTTTTTCTCCAGAATCACAAATAGGGCAGTTAGAAAAAGGCCGACCCTAAATAATTTAAGAAAAAATTTTCTAAGTAGCATTGGCATCGTACAATCTAACGACATCCTAAATGATATATTAAATTTTCACAAACCGAACCAATTGAAAACTCTGTATCTGTTTATTGAAAAATTCTGTTTTTTAAGAGGATCCAAGACAAACAAAAATACGTAAATTATTATTAATTTGTAACTTTATATGAATAAGTATCTTTATGTACACTTCTTATATATGTAACCTCTATTGCAATGTATATGTACAGGAAAGCAATAAAAATACTAGACTACTAGACCAAAAAAAGGAAACTCGAACAAAGGTGCCAGATCCACACTCTTTACACTTTGCGGGCTACCGCGTGTCTCCCGATTTTTATTTTATGAAAAACTCCGAGACCTCGTGTCCGATCACGAGGGCCTCTCAAGTCGTTTATCAAAATTACCAATCCTTATGCTCGCAATTGATACTTTAGGGAATTATCCACGCTAGCAAGGGCTACGACTAATTACCGATAATCAATATGCAATAAAATAATAAGATTATAAATATTTCAACACAAATTTCTGAAATAAATGTCAAAATTAATACTTAAGAACTATTAATAATAGCACATAGATTGTCAAATATAAATAATAATAAAGAATATACAGTATATAAATTAATAAAATTAATACAAAAATAGTCAAATTATGAGACACACCGAGTGTGGATCTGTTGCCAACACTAGGCGCAGGGAGGGACGCACACAAGAATAAAATTCGTGTGACAAAAATTTTTAATTTTTATTTCAAGAACATTTTTTTATTGAAAGAAAAAGTGCCACTAATGGGGTCTTTTACCTTACATTTATTGAGATTTCAATAGTAATTAAGGAAATTTTCAAACAAAGGTACTGGTGTCGAAAAAAACGATCTCCATGATTCTCATGATTCTGGTTGATTTGTTTATTTAAATCAAAAAACTAAATGGCATTTTAATCTGTGAAGCTAGGGATATCTATCACCTAAACAAGAATAATTTGAAAATATCAAAAATTAAATGATCCACATGATTTTAAACATTAATTTTCGAATTTCATGATTTTAGTTCAAATTGTTGATTAAAATAAACAAATCAGCTGAAATTATGGAAATCGCATTTTTTCGAGATCAGTACTTTTGGCGTATACACATATATATATATATAATATATATATATATATATATATATATATAGTGTAACACTCAGAGTGATGAAGATCTAAATCGGAAAATGTTTCAATTTACTGCTGAAATAATCTCAATAAATATATCAAAAAGTTCAAACTTCTATATTTTTAATAAAGTGAAGAGTGTATTTCAATCTCTAAAGTAAATTCATCTGATCTAAATTTAGGCTGAATTTGCACGTATATTCAATTGGGAAGAGAAAAAAAATTTCTAACTGAATTATTAATTATACAAAAAACAATATTATAGTAAAAATACTTATAAAAATAGAAGTTTATTTAGTTAACATGAACTTCATTACCTGATTCATGATTATTAGAATCATTTGATTCTTCTTGATCAATGGGACCAGGGATTGGTGTTTCTCCATTTTTCAAACAATTATGAATATAAGCAGCCTTCCACTTAGCGTACTTTCTATTTTGATTAGCTTCTTCGCTTAATTCTCCAAAAGTAGTTAATATGTCATAAAGAAATCCAGCTATATAGAAACTCTGAATCAAATTTTTGGAAAAATTTGAAGCTCTATCATTTTGATCGGCATAATGAAAAATCTTCAAAGCATAATTTTCTATATATGCTTGTGCTGCTATATCATTAGTGATACATTCATTGTCATGTAATTGTTTTTTCGTATTCTCCAACCAAGTCATGAGCTTAATTAAAAAATTTGTTTCCTCTGATGATTTTTTTTTGGATAAACTCAAAGCAGTTTGCGCCGCGTAAAATCGAGCTGTAAATATTGTAAAACACATTCTGTTAATAGCACAGCTTTAAAAGTATAAGATAACAGAAATTTTTCCACTTTTTAGTCATTCTTAAAAAAAAAAAAATAAACTTTTAATTGAGAATGCACGTTTTGAGATTAAAAAAAATATTAAAACTTCAAAGTTTTAGTTTTAGTTTTGAAATTTTCAGTAGAAAAATTTTATCAGCTATGAAAATAAGAAGGGCGTTTTGTAAAGAGACCATATCACGAACGTAAAACATCGCAGAAACTGTCCATCTAGTTTCAAATCTTAAAACTTGAAGATCTTAAAGTATGAATTTTTTAAGTTTAAATCACATTGATATAATCACTTAGCTGCTCTACTTTTCATAAAAATTGAATATTTTTCAGAACAAACGACTAATTTTCAAAGTTTAATATCGTATAATTTGTGCAGAAGTGAATTTATCGAAAAATCTGAAGATCAAACAATTTTTTCTTTTGTTGTTTGAAGTAAAAAATAGACGATTTGTAATCATAATCTCTAGATTCCAATATTAAGGGGTCAGACTTGAAGGGCCAGTTTTTCAATCCAGGATAAAATTTTATCCAATGATAAAATATATCTATTTATTTCATATATATAAAAAATTTGGAAAATCCAAAAGTGCACGACTCATAATGTTCATTTAATTATGAAATAATAATAAAATAAAGCGAATGTAAAAAAAATATCAAATAGCTGAAATAGGATGATAATGCGAATGTGCCTCTAGTGGGATAAATGTACTCAATATGTATAGATATTCGGTTTTTTTTAATTTTATTAATTGCAAATAAACGACTCTAAGTTACCTAGCCATTCGCATTCGGTGACCTACAATTCTTTCAAAGAATTTTTCAAAAAAAAATTTGACTCAATCAATGGATTTTTTCGCAACTTACAGTCTTTTCAGGGTTTCATACATGACAGACAGGAACACTTTTTAAACTATTTTGATGTTTTTTTCCGTTTCTATTGCACAATAAATTTTTGAAAAGTATGGAATTAATCTCCATTAAATTATCTTGAAAATAGTATGCAAAATATCATGATTCCGTGAACTAACAAGAGTTGAATAATAAAAATAGTTGCCGAAATGTGGCGAAAAAAATTTTTCGATCGTAAAGCACTCTCTGATGCTTCACATCATGAGTCGTGCAATATACTGGCAATAATAATTTTATCTTCACTGATAAAAAATTAGGGAAACGGTTGACCCTAAAGGCCATCCCTGCAACTTCCCGCTAACTTTATACCTAAGCACTCAAAATTTTACTTATTTTTTTTTTGAGCTCTTCGAGCTTCGCAGTTTTTTGAGTTTTTTAAGAAATTTTAGAGCGCGAACTGGTCAGACCAAAAATTTCATAGAAATTATAAGAAAAACATTTTTTCTAATTTCTTTCGACAACGATATCTTACGAACGAATCAACTGATTTTGACCAGACTGGTGGCGATCGACGTGGTTTTTTGAGGTTAAGAGCTGATTAGTTTTTAGAATTGACCGGTAGAGTGGTTTAAAAGTTATTAAAAAAAAACGGATTTTTGGAAATTTTGTTTTTGAGATTTCTCAAAATTTATCGACTCAAATTTTTCGAACTAGTATCAGAAATTTAAGGGCAATGGGACTCTTTAGAACGCCGCTTATTTCGATTGAATCGGATAAGCCGTTTAAAATTATGAGAGATTTACACACACACACACACACACACACACACACACACACACACACACACACACACACACACACACACACACACACACACACACACACACACACACGCGCACGCACACACACACACACACACACACATACACACACAGACGAAGATGACCAGCGTAGTCAACGCCCTGCGAAGATTTAGAACACTGGATGAGGATTGGCAGTCAACACGACGACTAACGCCTCGCATTACGCCAGAGAAAAGCAGTCAAGCTGTTATTGAGACTGAGGAATCAATGGACACCGGTACCGATGGTGACGGCGAATCTGTTGCTGACGACAAGAGTGAAGGTGTTCCCAAGTCTAATAAGAGGAAGGACCGAAACTCGCCAGATCTAACAGAAAGGCGAGTGGCAAAGAAGAAGGACCTGAAGCCAAGTCCTCTGAAAGACGCGACGAAGCAGAACGCCGAAAAAAAAGACGCAGCTGCCTGGCAAAACGTCCAATCAAGGAAGGAGAAGAGGAGACTAGCCAAAGAGCAGCTCCCAAAGCAGACTTCAAAGGAGCCCAGGCCGGAGCCTAAGCGGAAAAAACCCCACAAATGGATCAGACCCGACGCACTGATCATTCGCCCGGCCGAGAAGGAGAAATACGCCGATCCTGCGTCGAATCAAGTAGTCCGTCCTTAATGAACAGGTCCGTACGACCGTGGAGAAAATCCACAAGACCAATACCGGGGACATGCTGATCACACTTTCGAGAAAGAGTGCTGATAGAGGCGAAGCCCTACAAAAGACCATCGCGGACATCCTTAAAGAGGAAGCCAAAGTGATATGCAAAGGGCCACAGGAGACTATCGAGATCCGAGACGTCAATGACGACACGACGAAAGCAGACATTCAAACTGCACTGAAAAAAGAAACCGGAGAAACCTGTGAAATACCTCTGGAGTCGATCAAGATCCGTAAAGCCTACAGAGGTACTCAGACTGCTACAGTGACGCTACCAGCGACAACTGCACAGAAGTTACTAGAAGGTAACAGCAAAGTGAGAATTGGTTGGGCCAACTGTCGAATAAGAGCAACGAAGAGACCTGTCCAATGTTTCAAATGCTGGCACTTTGGGCACTTCGGATCCCAGTACAAAAGCAAAGTCGATCGGTCTAGGCTTTGCATCAGGTGCGGACAAGAAGGGCACAAGATTGCTGATTGCGAAAATCCAGCCAAATGTGCACTATGTGCTGAGATTGAAAGTGCAGAGAATGTTGCCCACCATGCCGGTACCCATAAGTGCCCGGTATTTCAGAATGCACTCCAGAAGTTGACGAACAAACAAGCATGAGGATACTGCAGCTCAATCTCAACCATTGTGAGGCAGCGCATGACCTGCTTATGCAATCCGTGCGAGAACTAGAGCTTGACTTGGTACTGATAGCAGAGCCATATAAACACCTGAGTACCCAACCCTGGGAATCTGACAGCACATCCAAAGCTGTCATCTGGTCATGTGGCAAGCTCCTTTTCCAAAATGCGGTCGACAACAGCAATGCCGGCTTTGTAGCAGTATCAGTAGAGGGCATTCGCTTCTATAGCTTTTACGCACCACCTAGCCTCTCTACTGCCGAATTCACAAGCATACAAACGCGCGAGGAAAGGAATTACTAGAAGCCTTTTCTATATTAGATGTAGTACTGCTCAACAGTGGTGACACCAACCTACACCAAGGGAGACGTAAGTTCTATTGTAGATCTCACTTTCGTCAGTGGCAGCCTCACCAGAGGTAACATCAACTGGAAGGTGATGGATACTTACACAGCCAGCGACCACAACGCGATTCTCTGGGAAATATTAAACGCCCAGAGCCCGAGAAGACCTAAAGAGCAACTTAACACCATTGGCTGGAAGGTAAAAACTCTTGACCCAAGTGCATTGTTAGTAGCTCTCAATAGTGACCAGATTATCGCGGGCTGCGCAGAAGAGAAGACCAAGGACCTGATGAAAAGAGTGACCCAGGCGTGCGACGCCAGTATGTCTCGTAGACGTGGCATGAACACAAGACCTTCCGTTCACTGGTGGAACGACCACATCAGCGCCCTTCGTAAAGAGTGTCATCAAAAGAGAAGAATATCTCAGCGTGGCTACCGACGAACTAACTCTGTGGAACTGGTTGCAGAGTACAAAAAAGCCCGTCGATCCCTGAATAAAGCCATCAAAGATAGCAAAAGAAAATGTTGGAAGGAGCTCATCAACGAGGTGGACAGAGATGTGTGGGGTCGGCCGTATAAGGTGGTTATGATCCATCTTAAAAACCAGCTAATGCCATTACCCACGTGTCCTCAACTCCTACAGAAGATCGTAAATGCGTTGTTCCCCGAACAAAGCGAGTTTAACTACTTATTAGCGCAGAATGAAGTGGATGACATTCCATCTGTCACGGAAGAAGAACTAATGGAGATTTGTAATCGTGTAGGGAACAATAAAGCACCGGGATTGGACGGGGTCCCCAATATTGCCTTAAAAACAACTATAAAAGCAGTGCCATCATTGTTCCTGGACGTCTACGACACATGCCTCAAGGAAGGGATTTTCCCTCGGAAGTGGAAGCAGCAACGACTAGTACTACTTCCAAAAGGAAAAAAGTCACCAGAAGAACCGTCATTTTATCGACCACTTTGTATGTTAGACATGGCAGGTAAGATACTTGAGCGTATAATCCACCAAAGAATAGAAGCAGTTGTCGATCCACTCCTGGCAGACAACCAGTATGGTTTTCGGAAAGGACGATCAACCCTGGACGCAATCAACCTGGTTGTTGCAACGGCCAAGGAGGCAATCGAAGGGATCAAATGGAAGGGTGGAGCGAAGAAGTACTGCCTGGTGGCCACTCTAACATCAAAAATGCCTTCAACTCCGCCAACTGGGACTGCATTATGCAAGCTCTGGAAGAGAAAAACGTACCAGGATACCTACGTAGGATAGTGGCTAGCTACTTCACGGACAGAATCCTGAGATACGACACGAAGAATGGTCCAAAAGAGTACGATATTACTGGAGGCGTACCCCAGGGTTCTGTTCTGGGTCCACTTCTGTGGAATGTCATGTATGATGGCCTGCTGAGACTGACTCTACCAAGAAGTGTCAAGCTTGTTGCATACGCAGACGATGTAGCTGTCGTAATCGTTGCGAAACACCTAGATGAGATAAACCACATGTTCAGTATCACCTTTGAGAAAGTTAACCGGTGGATGGATTAAATGAATCTACAACTGGCTAAACAGAAGACTGAGGCTGTGCTTATTACCAGCAGAAAAGTGATAGAGACCATAAAACTGAAAGTCGGAGAACAAAAAATCACATCACAACCATATATCCGATATCTGGGAGTGATGCTTGATGCCCGACTCAACTTTAAGCAGCAAGTCGAACACGTGAGTGCAAAAGCATCAGCAGTGGCAGCTAGCTTAGCACGGCTGATGCCAAACGTCGGAGGCCCAAAGCAGAGCAGAAGACTACTACTATCATCTGTAGTCACATCAGTGCTCATTTACGGAATATCTATCTGGGCGGACGCACTAGAAAAGCAAGAATCATAGAGAAAGGCTGGACCAGTATATCGTCTGAGTGCCCTAAGAGTAGCTTGCGCCTTCCGCACAATATCTGAGGAAGCAGTATGCGTCATTTCTGGAACTCTACCTCTCAGAGTCCTAGCTGAAGAAAGACGGAACCTTTACCAACGAAAGAGGTCAACAACACTGAGCGCAGAAGAACTCAGAACGGAACAAAGACAGCACAGCATCGCACGATGGCAATCTCAGTGGGATGCCGCAGAGAAGGGTAGATGGACGCATCGTCTCATACCAAAGATCGACATTTGGCTGAACCGGAATCACGGTGAGGTCAACTACTACCTAACATAGATGTTGTCAGGACATGGCTGCTTTCGGGCTTATCTTCACCGCTTTAGACATGACGACTCTCCGGAGTGCCCGTCCTGCCCTGGAGCCACTGAAGATGCAGAGCACGTTTTTTTCGAGTGCTCGCGTTTCAATCAACAACGTGAGGAGCTGGAGAAGATCCTGAAGAAGACAATTCAACCAGAGTCTATCGTAGAAGCAATGCTGTCTTCAGAAGCTGCCTGGAATGCAACGAACACTTTTGCCACAGAAGTGCTTAAAGAGCTGCGTTCTATCGAGAGAAAAAGAGCAAAAGACAGAATCTAGAAGGAAGATAACATCTTAGCCACCAGAAGGAAGAGCGGCAGCTAATTCCTCCCCCCGCGAAGAAATGCCTTACGGCGGTACCATGGGGGATCAGAGGATAGAAGAGAAAGAGGTTTAGGGTTTAGTGGGTAAGGGCGTCAGCGTCAAGTTTTAATATGACGCTGCGTCGAGTCGCCACATATCCGGGCCAACATCTATGCCTAGAATCCGTAAAAAGGATTCCCCCCCCCCCCTAAAGGGAAAAAAATACACACACACACACGCACACACAGACACAACCCACCTGAAATGCCAACCAATGCCATCACCTACGTGTCCACAGCTCCTAGAGAAGATTTTTACTGCGCTGTTTCCCCAACAGCCGGTATTCACCTACAAGTTGGAGCAGCTCAACCCTGAAGACATTCCAACTATCACGTTGGACGAGTTGATAGAGGCAGGAAATCGAGTAGGGAATAATAAGGCGCCGGGATTGGAAGGAATTCCTAATATTGCCCTGAAATCAATCCTTAGGGCAGCACCGACATTATTCCTGGACGCTTACTTTACATGCCTGAAGGAAGGGACTTTTCCCCAGAAGTGGAAACAGCAACGGCTAGTGCTACTTCCAAAGGGAAAAAAGCCGCCGGAAGAACCGTCATCCTACCGACCGCTCTGCATATTAGACACGGCCGGGAAGATATTCGAGCGCATAATTCATCAGAGAATAGAGACTGTAGTCGATCCACTCCTGCCAGAGAATAGAAATGGCATTTGATATTACATTCAGACGAGTAAATTTGTGGATGGACATGATGAACTTGCAACTAGCCAAGCATAAAACCGAGGCAGTGCTCATCACTAGTAGAAAAACGGTAGAAACCATCAAGTTGAGAGTCGGAGAACAAGAAATAACATCACAACCATTTATTCGTTATCTGGGAGTGATGCTGGATGCCCGACTCAACTTCAAGCAGCAGGTGGAACACGTCAGTGCCAAAGCGTCAGTAGTGAGGGCTAGTCTCGCACGGCTGATGCCTAACATCGGAGGCTCAATGCAGAGCAGGAGGCTACTATTATCATCAGTAGTCACATCAGTGCTCACTTACGGAATATCCATTTGGGCTGATGCACTGGAAACCCAAGAATCGTGGAGAAAAGCTGGACCAGTATATCGACTGACTGCCAGTGTGCGTCATTGCTGGAACCCTACCTCTTAGAGTTCTAGCAGAGGAAAGACGGGCCCTTTACCAACGAAAAAGGTCAACTGCACTGAGTCCTGAAGAACTTAGAATTGAAGAACGGCAGAAGAGCATAGGCCGATGGTAACTACAATGGGATGCTGCAGAGAAGGGTAGGTGAACGCACCGTCTCATACCTCGGATCGACATTTAGCTTAACCGGAATCACGGCGAGGTCAATTACTATCTTACGCAGATATTGTCGGGACACGGGTGTTTTCGAAAGTATCTACACCGCTTTAAGCACGATAACTCTTCGGAGTGCCCGTCCTGCCCAGGAGTTGCTGAAGATGCGGAGCATGTCTTCTTTGTATGTCCTCGTTTCGATCCACAGCGTGAAGAGTTGGAGAGGATCCTGAACCAGAAAATTACTAGTGGAAGCAATGTTGTTATCAGAAGCTGCCTGGAACGCTACTAACCTTCTGAGGACTTTGCAACAGAAGTCCTCAAAGACTTGCGTTCCACTGAAAGAAGAAGAGTAAATAGCAGACAATAGAAGGAAGGAAGTTAACACCTTAGCCACCAGAAGGAAGAGCAGTAGCTAGATCCTCCCTTCACGAAGTAATGCTTGACGGCGGTTTCCATGAGGGATTAGAGGAAAGAAGGAAAAGGGGTTTAGGGTTTAGTGGGTAGGGGCGTTAGCGTCGAGTTTTAGTATGACGCTGCGTCGAGTCACCACATATCCAGGCCAAACAGCTATGCCTGGAATCCGTAAAAAGGATTCCCCCCCCCCCCCAAGGGAAAAAAAACACACACACACACACATACATACAGACACGATGACATCACCGCGGGAATAGTCAGGGAAGCTTTCTAGGACCTCAAAACGTCGAGATCTGATGAAAACTCAATTTTCGAAAAACGGGGTGAAAACAATAACTTCCCGATTTTCGAAAATTTTCAATTTCCTTGGCGGGAATTTAAAAATTAACTTGACTCAAGAGCCAAAATCTTGAACCAAGAATACCATTTTAAAGAAAATGATTTTCTTGATCAAGAATAAAAAAAAGTATTGGATTGACTAGAAAACCAATACTTTTCAATACTTTTTTCTTTGTCTCAATACTTTTTTTTTATCAGGGGAGTCAAGAGAATAAATTCTAGAGACAAGAAAAATTTACTTAAATCAAGAATAATTTCTTTACTCAAGAATTTATTCTCTTGACTCAAGAAAATCATTTTCTTCAAAATGGTATTCTTGGTTCAAGATTTTGGCTCTTGAGTTAAGTTAATTTTTTTGTCCAGCTGGATAAAATTTTATCTCGGATAGAAAAACTGGCCCTAAGAGAATCGTTCTGTTGGTATTCGCTCCGAGGGCAACAGGGCTAGCGCTCGAGGTGACAATTTTAATAACTTCGTACTCAGAAAATCCCATGTTATTTCCCATAAGACGCGACATCTGCGATAAAAATCGGAACTTCACTCCCACTCACGGATATACACAGACGCGTAATACACTTACATTTTCTGTGAGTGAATTAGTTGCCCTCGGAGCGAATTGTTGAGTAAACTTTTTTTTACGCTCCAAGTTAGTGATATGATATTCACCTGTTATGTTTCCTTTGATATTTAGACTTTTGCCACGAACTTATAAATTCGAGTTCATAATAATCAATTTCTCCACATAATTATGATAGTACAAAAAATACATGTACGTACTTTCATTGCCTATAACTGCGTAAGACTTCAAATTTTAATGGGGATTCCGTATTCTTCGTAACCATTAACTGAGGCCACTTTTTAAAGAAAAAAAGATATTCAAAAAGACATACCAATAATTTTAAATGCTCTATTTTTTGATTACAAGTTCTACAATCTTAAAATTTAGAAAGGATATGTGCTGTGCAACGAAAACAGTCAGTCAGTCACCAACAAAAAATTTCACGATTCCCACGTGAAGAATAACATAAGACAAGCTTCATTTATATGCTACAAAAGAATATTAATTTTGGATATGTTAAAGTATAAATTTATTTTCTATTTGTTACCAGAATTTCTTAATAGTCAAACATATAGAAACATGATAAAGTATTATTCGTTTTACAAGCAGTGTTCAAGAGTTAAATATTTTTCTATAATTTTTTTATATCTATCCATAAATTCGTATAAATCAAAATAATTATAACGTAATATAATTAGGGGTTAAATTATGAACATCGAGTACGTTTGAAAATTTGTTTTTAATATTTCGATTTTCAACAAAATTTTTTTCAATTCTAAAAATTCTATCATTTAGTATTCCTTTATTTATTTAAAACTTTCTTGAAAAGTATTTTTTTTACGTTCAAACATAAAAATAAAGTAGAACATTGGACTTTCAATATCAGATATATTAAAAATTATAAAAAACATACCCCAATAGCTAATTACTAGATCTCGTGAATCATGCTGTAATGCAATTTTCAAGTAATGCTGAATACTTTTCATAGACGTCGGAACTTCTGATAAATCCATTTTTAAATAATTACTTAATATCACTTGATTAGTAATGATTTAAGTTGATGATAATTTACTGAATTATTAACCTTCAGTGGAATTTAAAATGTGATAACTAAATTGTACTAACGAACTCATTCCACATGTTTTATTTCAATAACCGTTGAACTCAAAGAAATTGATAAATTGTGAAAAAGGTTAAATACGTTCCTAAAATGCAAAAATAATAATATATTTATTTATTTATTTATTATTTATTAGGAAACATAGAACCCAGCACAAAACAAAATAAACACACGGAATATAAATAGAAGATGGGGCATAAATATAACAGAGTATATATCTCATCTAGTCTGGTGTATCAAAGTAGTAGCATTTAGTAGTGGTCAGAGAGAAGGCTTAGGGGCGGGGATGTGCAGGCGCGGGTAGTTGCGCGCAACTGACATGTATGTACTTTATTTTACGTAAATTTAGTAAAATACTTATATACAGTAATAATTACAGTATTATAAATAGATTTGAGTGCCACCTAACAACTATCATTTGAAACTGTTTAGTATTTGAAATTGTATGATACTGAAATTAGCAGACATCTGACATGTGGAATTTTTTTAGTGAATTCTTTTCATTATAATTTTATTTTTATAAAAATCTAGAAAACTGTTGGATGTCTGCTAAATTTAGTATCATGAAACATTGACCATAAGTATTTTAATAATTTTAGAATAAAAAAAAATGAGTGTGAATCAGCCGACATCCGGCAATAGAAAACTTTAACAATCGATATCTTCATGAAAATATCGATTAGCACAATTTTTCAAAGTGATAATGGCATGTATTTGCATTGTTTGTTAGAACCTTTCTTATTTAATGTATTAAATTCGTTATTTAAGCTGCAATTTTTAAATTAAATTGTTGTTTCGGAATATTAGAAATATATGTTTTTCAAAATCGATGAAATTCAACTATTTTAAAATTTTTTCCTTCATTTTAAAGAGCATTTTTTCATATTGCTCCCAAAATGACTAGAATCGATGTTGTGCTTCCACGACTCATGAAATGGTTAAGACAAAAAAAAATTAAAAAATGGTCTTGTAGATTTGATCAAAATCTACAAGAGCATTTTTTTAACTTCCCGCTATGAAGTCAATGATTTTTATAAAATCGGGTTATTGATTTCACCCCAGTTTTCAAAAATCGAGTTCTTATCAGTCATCCCTGACTATTTTTACGATGGTGTGTGTGTATGGATATATATATATATATATATATATATATATATATACATA